GTTCCTAGATAGAAGATACAAGTATAGCCTAAACATTCGGATTATGGCTTGGGTTTTAAAATTCTTGGACAATGCGAGAAGAATACCCACTGAAAGGGGAAATTTGAAAGTAATAGAGTTATAAAGGGCCGAAAGGAAGCTGTTGAAATTGGTTCAACAAGAGACTTTCCCAGGAAAACAGGCTCCGAAAAATGGATTAAAGACTATTAAATCCGTCGAAGGTTTGTGGTGCGTTGAGACGAAACTGCTACATGGACAAGATTCAGAAGTGTTTAAACGACCTATTTTACTACCTCGTAATCATCCTCTGGTGGAACAGATGGTTCGTGAAATACACCAACAAAATGGGCATGGAGGGGCCCAATTCATTCTTTCACAATTCAGAGAGAAATTCTGGATCATTGGTGGTCGCAGATTGATTAAACAGATAATTGGAAAATGTGTGATATGTAGGAGGCGTAATCAGAAACCTATTCAGACTCCTGGCGCGGCTTTGCCGACTGTAGAATAGGGTTAGGCAAACCCTTCGAGGTGACAGGTGTGGATCTGTTGGGACCGCTACATCTTAAAGGTGGCAGCAAGGTTTGGGTGGCCTTGTTTACTTGCGCTGTTTACAGAGCTGTCCACCTAGAGATTGTGAGAACATTAGAGGCAAACACTTTTTTGTTAGCTCTAAAAAGATTCATTTGTCGGCGTGGACGTCCCGGAAAAATATATAGTGATAACGGGACAAATTTCTCAAAAACAAACGAATTACTTAAACACTTGGATTGGGGGGAGATTGAAAGGGAATCGAGTGTAAAAAGAATCCAATGGATTTTTATCCCTCCCTCAGCGCCTTGGTGGGGAGGCTTTTGGGAGAGATTGGTAAGGGTTGTTAAGAGTTTATTGGTTCGTATGCTCGGATTTAGTAAATTGAATTATGTATAACTTGAAACTGCTTTATGTGAGGTAGAGGGTATTATCAACAATACAGCTCTTTCATATATATCGGAAGATGACCAAGACCTCATTCCCTTGACCCCTCAGATGTTTCTGCAGACTAACGCAAACAATGAGTTTCCGGAGCTAGAAAAAATAAGAGTGAATTCTTTCACCAGAAAAAGTCTTAAAATATTGTCACAGCCGACTCATGTAAATATTTTCATTAATAATTTAACTTATTAAACAAATCAATGTTGATTTATTCTTTGTTAACATTGTGTAGCCACGGCGTTCTTCATTCATTTTGTAACCTTACCAAAATAAAGCGTTAGTTTTTTAATGAGAACTTGTTCTGGTTTATTCTACGGTACAATGGAAACTACTGAACCCATCTACATCTCAAGGTGTACCAATATATATCATCTTATGTAAAAACATCTTTTAAAAAGTAGATATTTATTAAATTTTCTACATTGAAATTAAATATCCT